GTGAGATGCAAACTAAAAAGTCAGTTAATAGTCAGTTATATCACTGCCTTTATGGCAATCATAACTTTTTAGACATTCAGAACTGTTTGTTTTTTGTTATAAATGCTTGGAATTCTTGAAAAGCCAGAATTGTGGGATATAAATATATGAAATAATGTGAAAATCATTTAAATAATATGGAAATATAAACATCAAATTGCTAATGGGAAAATTAACAGAAGTGCATCATGTACCCTTGCAATTGAGGGTAGAATTTACAACTTTTACATGCAATTCTGGGTTTCACATTTTAAAATTTTAAGTATTGTTTTATTGCAATCACATTTGCAACATGTTACAATTGTGAGTTTACATCTGATAGAAACTTTGAACCCCAAAAAAAAAATCAACATTGTGAGATACAAACTTAAAGAGTAATTGTCAAGTACAAATCAGTGGTTCTGGAAAAGATTTGTGTGATGTTTATTCATTGCGAGAAATAAAATACAAATCCCAGTTACCTTTTTTTTTACTTTAACTTTTTTATTCCACTGTAGAAACAATTTTCCATAAACAGCAACATTTGGTACAATATTACTTACAGTTATGTAAGCTAAATAAAACAAATATTAATAATAAAATAGATACCATTTTAGTTTCTTCCTTCATTAACATCCTATTAGAGACTTAGAGGCACACTACAATGTATTTCTATTATGTCTCAGGTGATTTATTTCCAAAAATGAAATGTTCAATTAAGATGTTCAGTAAGCAATTCTTTAGAAGAAACACACATGTACTGACTATCAAAAATGATCTTCTTCTGATGCCTGTACTGATGAACCAGCCTTTACAAGTTAAACATTCTTTATATGCCTCTAAAATGAGGCTGTAAAATATTATGTAGCAACAAATGCTTTTAAACTTGTGTTTGCTCTTTTTTTTTCCAGTTCAGATATGGAAGGACATTAAATAAAAGATGACAGCAGGCTTTTTCCTTCCCACTCCATCTTCTCTGGACAAAGGTAAAGTCTTCTTAAACTCTCTATCAGCAAATGAATAGGATGATCTATCCTTTGACTCTTTCCTCAGTTTGAAAGTCCATGAATAGCCTGGGGATGTAAGAGAAACACTTGTTTGATGCATTTCTGGGAAGACAGATGAAGTTAACCGAAGCCATAATAGACAGATCAGGATGCTCACCAAGTGCTGGTTATCATAGGTCTCAATCAGGTCCTCATCGTCAGTAAATGGAAGGGGCTCTTTGTCGTCTTGCAACTGTGAGATCTAAACAAATTATATGGTGTAGTCAGAATTGTATGTTTCTGTAATATTATTATTATTAGCAGTGTTTTGTACAGTTATTTTTTAATTATTAATAGTTTAGTTTAATTTAGTTTAGTTTTGAAGTAACTTCTGATCACCAAGGCTGCATTTATTTGAACCAAAAGGTAATACAGTGTATGAAAAAAACAACTATAAAAAATAATGTGAAATAATATTGACAGAAATAACTGCATTTACATCAAAATTTCAGGAAAAATTATTTAATTCTAAAATACATTGAACACCCTGTAAAATTTAAACAAGCAAAAAATAATTTTATTCAGAAAGCATGCATTAAATTAATCAAGTGGCAGTAAAACAGATATGTTACTTTTTAATTATTATTATTAAAAGTGTTTTACAAAAGTTTAAATTGTTAAAAATAGTTTGTATTATTATTGTTGCAGTGTGTCTGTCTTAGAAAGTAGCCTAATTTAACTGAACTCATTATATAACATTATAACAAAATCGGTAAAGTCTGTTGTTACTTCACATTACATATGCCTATTTAAAGTTTTATTTTATTTTAAAAAATCAGAAAGAATTCCCCTTTTTACTAAAATTATTCCCATTTAAATTGTAAAAATATCTATAAATAAGTCTTTGTCTTAGAAAGTGACCTATTTTTTCCTGAGTTCACCCTATATATTGCACATTATGCAGTACTGAACAAAACCCTAAAATCTTTTGCATTGCATCACATTACAACTGGGTATTTTATTTTATTTTATTATATTTGATTATATTTTATTTTATAAATATTATAAAATTATAAGAAGTCATTTCTACTCACCTAGCCTTTAATTTAAACAAAAAGTATGATTTAACCAAAATGCAAATTTAAAATGTTGTAATGTTGTGAAATAATATTTACAAAACAAATTTTAATTTAATAATTATTAGAATATTTTATTTTAGGCAGGTAATGGTGTTCAAAAGTTCAGAAAGAACAGACTTTTTTGTTGAAATTATATAATCATTCCATTTTTAAATATAAAAATATTTCACAGTATATATTTTTGAAGCGTCTTTGTCTTAGAAAGTGCCCTAATTTTCCTGAGTTCACCCTATATATTGCACATTATGTAACATGAACACAACCCATTAAGCGTGTTGCATTGCATCATATTACAACTTGCCCCTTTAACTTTAGCCTTTAGCTGGGGTAATATTTCTCTCATTGAGCAAGTCAGCATGTGTCTAAACATTCCTTTTATTACATCCTGTTTTTTTGAGCATCAGGATTTACACGAGCGCCTCCAATTATCAGGCCATCTCAATAAACCGAAAATAAATTGATCAGTTATCTCCTAAATTTACAGCATGTTATCACAGAGGCCATCAGCAGCTTTATTATAAGACAATTGACACATTGCAAAAGAATTTAATTATATATTCCATTTATTTACTGTCTTCTTAATTAAACGAAAGCTATTGATTTTACCTTCTCAGCTAAAGGATTGTCTTCATATCCAATGGAGTTTTGGTGCTGGATGAAGAGAATGGCGTCGTGAACCGAGAGGAAGAGCAGGTCTCTGTTAACCTCCTCGTCAAAAAAAGACAGGGCCTCCATTTTCCTGACAAGCTCACCTGTGACACAAGGACACTTTAACTTATTCACTGTGTCCAAACCTGCCGTTATCAGGCTGGAGTTTAGCACAGAAACATATATGTGTAGAGCCAGGCCTTACCGTCACAGCCTGCGATGTAGACGCTGACCCCTATCCGAATGAATTCTTTCACCACCTGTGAGAATTTAAAATGACAAATTAGAAACATAAAGAGTAAACACACTGAAAACAACTATTCATTAGATTAACAATTACGTTGTTGCATACAATTTACTAAGGTTGCATTTAAACAAACAGATTAAGTTGAACATCAATAAATTTAATTTGTTTATTTAAATTCATCCCATATAAATTGTTATATTTATAAACAACTTTCCTTAAAAAAAAGGATAATGTGTAATCTAATGAATTAATTTTTTAAGTGTACAGACCATTATCTAAATTAGTACTATTTTCTTTTGTTTCAAATCCATAAGATGTGTTCATCTTCAGAACATTATAGAATTGAAGACATTTTGAAATCTGAGAGTTTTCTGTCCTTGCATTGAAAGCTTATCTTCACCTTAACCTCTGATACTTTGATAATCTGATAGCAAAATATACAGCAGGCTCTAAGGAAATACGTGCTTCAGCCTTTAATCTTGTGAAGCCACAAAAATGTACTTCAACATATGTTTGACTGCAGTTTCTAGGTAAAATGAACGCTATGGGGCAGTATGACACCAACATTTTTTGTATTTTTCGCGCTATTTCTAAAATAATGATGTTTACTGGGATAAATTATCAACACGTATTACATTTTACGGCAAAAAATAACAATTTGCATGTCTAGTTCAAAGTGTCTATTGGGTAACACTTTACTTTTAGGGGTGTTCATTAGATGCATGCTCATGATGACTTTCATTAAGTGTCCTTCACTCAGTTATGTCATTTTAAATGCAAAGTTGACATTGTTTGTAAATGACACAAATGTGTTCTATGTGAATGACAACTTAGGGTTAGAAAAAGCATTTGAAAAAAAGAGTTTGTGGTTTATTTCCTCTTGTCCATATCTCATTTTAAAAATGAGAAATGTACCCACAGTAAAAATGCATTTATATCATTTATATCACACATCAAACATGTAAACTGACAGAAAACCAATTAAAAACTGTGGAGCAAAACTCCAGCTGGACAATCAGTTTATGCTTTAGTAATTTATGACATCATAATGGACATGGATTAAGTTGTTACATGTATTAAAGGGGTAGTTCCCTTTTCTCCGAAATAAAAAGTCATCACCATTTACTCATACTTGAGTGTAAACATTTTAAATTTAAAAAAACGTTTTACAAACATTTACACATTTTTCTGTTTTGTGGAACAAAAATTGTATTGAAGAAAACTGCTGTTTCTTCAGTATATCTTCAGCTGAAGAAAATAACTCAAACAGATTTAGAACAAATGTAGGGTGAGTAAATTATTACTTTTTGAGTGAATTATCCCCCCAAAAGTATAAGTATAATCTGGGTAGAAGTATACATTTTCAACTTGATTGAAATCAGTTTATATTTTCTTTTCTTCATGAATGTTTGAAAAGTCAGAGCTTTCAATAGAGTGACAAATATCTCTCAGATTTCATTTAAATGTCTTCATCTGTGCTCTTAAGATGAATGAAAGGTTTATGGGTTTGGAACTCACACAATGAAAGAATGTTGATGTGGGCTTGCCAATTCAAAGAAAAGTCATTACTGACTAATCTCCGTGTTGTTTCAAACCTTTCTTATATGGAAGTCAGTGGGGTACAAAACCTCATTTGCTTTAAATGAACGGACCATAAAACATAGAGACAATTTTCAAAATATCTGTTCTGCTGAAGGTTTGGAGTAGTATGAGATTTTGGTCATGCATTATTAGAGTAAAACAATGCCTCAGCTTATAACAATGAAGATGGCATACCAGCTTGAGGGATTTGGCTGCCACCACGTCCAGGAAGGAGACTGAAGAGAAGTCCACCACCAGACTGTGGATATGCACCCTGGGCACCGACACACTGACAGGCAGCTCAGATGTCCAGTCCACCTGGATCTTCACTTCTGAGTCGGTCTTAGATGCCTGCTTTTCCATCTCATGACCCGGCTCATTCTCAAAGCCTTTGTTTTCTACTCCTAATGAGGCCACTGGTACCAAACCTGCCTGTGAAACACGACCAGATGAGAAAGACCAGAATGTAATCTCATGAACTCGGGTGAGTGCTATTTTTTTTTTTTTGTTGAGAAAAACAGGTTTCATATGAAGAGTTCAGTTGCAAAAAACTTCTAAAATTATCATTTTTCTCAGCCTCATTGGTTTATGTTAATTTTTTTTCACAATAAAGGGAATGAATAGACACTATTCTTTGGCATAAAAGTGAAATTACTGAGCCTACACACAGGAGCATGAGAAAAATGCTCAGTTTAGAAGATAGCTCACACTTTATTTTAAAGTACAATTCATGATATTAACAAAGACTTTTAGCTCAAACTACTAATTAGCTGCTTAGCTGCTGCTTATTAACAGTTAGGCAACAGTTGGGTTTAGGTATTCGGATTATTAAAGATCATACTTTATAAGTGTTAATAAACAGTTTACATCTTGATAATCTACAAATAATAAGCCAGAAATAAATGGTGTGTAATGTTACTTAAACTAAATTTCAGATGGCACGTAATGGTTTTGCATCTGAAATCTTCATAAGTATGTGATTTACAAATATAAATGTATCTCACAAAGTACCTCTGTCACTTGTAATTTTCCTTTTTTAATGAGCTTGTGAATCTTCTTTAAAGCTTTGTTTCTTTTCTTGAACACCCGCACTGCATCAAAACCCACCTAAGAAACAAACATTCACAAAAATAACCGATGCATTTAAACACATTTTAAACTAATGCATTTTTATTGTTTTTTCATATATCACACACAGACCTTTGTTGTTTTTGAATTTATAATTAGAGCAATTAAGTAAATGTACCTCATCCCTCAGCTTTTCTTTGAAGTAATCAATATTTGCGAAATAAATCGGCGAGTTGCACTTGAAAATCTTCACCCCGGGGATCTCATCAACCTGAATTTGTTTTGGAAATACATTATTATTAAGAATATAGATGTGTGTCTGTCTGTGTGTGTGTGTGTGAGTTCAAATAAATGATTATTTACATTATTAACATTTTCACCTCACCTTTTTGTAGTCTTTCATATTTTTGTAGATATCAGTGTTTGGGACATTCCCAAGGGTGGCACAAGAAGGGCTGAATAAAACAAAAAGCAATCCGATGTGATTAAAGCTTACATTGTGATGTATGTCTTTAAAAACAAATGCCAATTATTTTTTGTTTCATTTTTTACCTTTGTAACTGATGTGTGATTATTTTATAATCCTATAATACCTGTTACAAAATATGGATTTCTTTTATGTAACATTAACCTGATTCTCTTATTATTGGCCTTATTTCAACTTCATAGTTTGATTAATATGAATTACAATTGAAGACAACATTGTTGTTTTTTTACTAATATTTCCCAAGTGCTCTTTAAAGGAACGATTTCTTCAACACATTTGTAAACATTAGGTTTAATGATTAAACTCTTATAGCTATATTTGTTTGGCTTTGCCATGATGGCAGTACATAATATGTTACTAGTTATTTTGTAAGATACAAGTATTCAGCTTAAAGTGCAATTTAAATTTTAGTAGGTAAGTTAGGTTAATTCGGCAAGTCATTGGACAACGGTGGTTTGTGCTGTAGTCAGTCAAAAAATAAATATATACATATAAATTTATATATATAAATTATATATTGTTTATCTCAGCTAAACTAAAAGAAGACACTTTCACCAGCAGAGAAAATGTAATAGGAAATGCTATGAACGTGTCCTTGCTCTGTTAAACATCTCTTTGGAAAATTTAAAAAAGGAATTTAAATTTCATTGCAGGTTTAAACCTTTTACTTTAACTGTACATTAAAATGCAGCAAATCAGGTCAAAAATCAGTCATCACATGTATAACAAGTGCTAAAAAGGTAACATTTGCTTATTATCAACTAAAAATCCTAACTAGTTCTGAGTACATTATTAAGCATACTTGAACTACTTACAACTGTGTTCTGACCACTACTGTGCCCATCTCAAACACCAGACCAGCCAGCAGACCCACATCCAAACCCAGCACAACAGATGCCAGGCAACTTGCTATCCAGATGAACTGCAGAAAAATAAGGATTCATTTGCACTCATTACTACCATATAATCTCACACTATGCAAATAAAACAAAATTATTCAGATACTCCCATTGGCTAATTCAGCACAGCATTGATTAATGCTAGAACGACTTAAAACAATATTATGTTGCTAACAATACTCTCATTCTGTTCATTTATCAGACTTATGAATGTACTTACACAGTCTGTTCTGTTCTGTCTCCAGAGTACAGGCACTTCAGAGATCTGCAGGAACATGCCCTTCAGGTTGGCTATAACGATGCCAGCCAGCACAGACTGAATGACAAAGATGGATGATATTATCAGGTGCACTCTGAATATTCCTTGTATTTCAATGTTTAATATGCATATTGTCTTTTCACTGGTAAAACATGAGTTTCTACTAACAAACCTTCTGCAGAGGCTGAAGAAACGGCCCAAGAGCCAAGATCACTATCATCACCATCACAGCTGAGATGAGACCAGCAACCTGCAGCAGTGAGAAGACAGAACAGTTCAATATGGCGAGTACTGTATTCACACATTGACACAAACATGTTAAAGTACTTGTGCAAAGGCTTGTTCACTCCAAGAACTATAACTGTAAACATACAGTGCCCAGTATAAATGCAAGTACACCCCTTACAGAAATATATTTTAAACTAGCTAAATAATAAGACATCTGTATGTTTATTAGATTAGTCAGTACCAAAGCCAAACTGGGACAAATTTAAATAACTTAAGATCACGATGCAAAAATTAGTACAACCTAATGAGTATGTTAGGGGAAATTCTTTAATAAAAAGGAAAAAATATAGGTTTTGGCAGTTGAGTTTTTTTTAACACCTTATTTGTAGTTAAATGTATTATCTTTCTATTCTTAAATATGTTAGGTATCCACACTCTTATTTTATTGAATATAGATGTTTAATATAATTATATGCTGTTTGATAAACTGTTTAATAAATTATGTTGTCTATTTTTACTAAGAAATTTATACACATCTACATTTTCAAAGGGGTTTACGCCTTTATGCTGTTTACCGTAACTGTATTAGCTCTCATGCTTAATGCATAAATGATTGCCTGATTGGCTGCCAGTGCTATTACAGGTTTTCAGCTGAAAATAAATAGAATGATTAAATTTAGATTTAAAATTTTTGCTTTTTAAAACTGCTGTTAAATCCTAAATAAAGGAAAAAAATAAATAAAAACTACTACATCATTTGCTCTTCCTCGTGGTTTTAAACTCTTATGAGTTTCTTTTTATTTTGTACTTAACAAATTATTTCATACTTGTTGCTTGCATAAAATGCTTTGTGTTTTTATTGCTAATTGAAGGCTGATTATGACATGAGCTGAAAAATCTTTAAAATGTATACAATTCAATTAAAATATTTATTATTGAAAACTTTACCAAAAAAATCCAATATAAACACTAAACTTTTCTAAATTGTTATATTCTAATGTTTATTCTCCTTATACAGTATGATAACAGGCATGCTGGGAATAAAACATCTGCCTCAATTCAGTCAAAGTTCAGCTTAATACAATCAGATTTTGAGTTCACAGAACTTGTAATCAATTGTTTAGTATTGTAGTGTGTATTTTATCTTCCCAGTTATCATCCATGGCTTTAATACAGGGTATCTGCGGGGTCTTAAATAGTCTTAAAATGTCTTAAATTTCAAAAACCAAATTTTAGGCCTTAAAGTCCATTGAAATACAGTGTTGTAGGTCTTAAATCATTTTTAACAAGTCTTACTTTTTCTATGTCCGCTATAGCGGACCAACACCCATCCAATCACTAACAATATATTTCAATAAAAGTTTTTAGAAACATTTATTTATTAACTCTATTTACTTTGGTTTAATTATCTTCCTTATAATAACATTTGTTTTTTAAGTTTTAACTTGGCCATTAAAAAAATGTTAGTGTTTAGCCTTGGGTAAGTCTGATATTTCATTCATCATGGTCTTAAATTTGATGAAACCTGTAGAAACCCTGTAATACACATATAATATGTGAATTTTTTTTTTATTATTATTATTATTTTTTACCTGACTCTTTCCTCCTGTGCTCTCCTGTACTGCTGTCCGTGACAGAGCAGTGCTGGCCACAAAGCTTGAGAAACATCCTCCGAAAATGTTGCTGACGCCAAAAGCTATAAGTTCCTAATAAAAATAAAATGGTATTAAGCATAATCAGGTAGTTTTAATTATAATGTATCAATTTGTGCTTTATTTTCTTATGATATATAAGCATCAGCAGTGCCTTTATTACACTTTTGAGCATCTTCTGAACAACAAAGACACTGAAAGCAATCCTAATTGTGAAAACAAATCACATATTGCAAATCTGTCTATGAATGCTTTCTGTTACCTTTAAATTTTAAACATTAACACATTCATATGCAGTTTAGGAAAAATCCTTTATTAGATTTTTTAAGAATTTGTTATTTACAAAGCTAGAAATGAAACAAAAATAACACCTGAAAAAAAATTATAGCACAGAGAGCGAACATGATATTAAAAGGCTAACTGGGATTTATCACAAATTTGTATGCAGAATTTATTTTTAAATTCTTTAACCTAATGCTAATATTTGCGGCATTGCCAAGTTAAGAAATCTTTTTAGCTTTCTTTTGCAACCTCACATTCATTCTGATATGCTGGCTTAAAGTGGCCTTAAAAGGTCAACTAAGACAAACAAACATCAGTAGACAAATAAATTGAGAACAAACCCCAGCATCTTTACGATATGTATTTTAAGAAAAAACTAAACTAAACAAACCAAAAACAAAGGTAGCTGTACTCTTAATCTAGCATGGATTACAAATGATGTTGGCTGCAGTTTTGAACTCAAAATTGTATGTTATCTGGCAGGTTGAAGTGACCTTAATAGGTCAACTAGTTCTTTCTGGCTCTCCCTCATGATTCAGTCATTTCTGCATTTGTGGGAGAGTGCTTCTCTTACCCTTGTTAGGCTTTACAAAATAACACGCACACTCACACAAGCATAAGTTGGCCTAGTATGTGTTAAATGCAACACATTTCTTGCAAGAAGCTGGTTTTGCCACATAATCAACATAAACGCCTTGTGCCATGAAAAAATTATGTGTTAATTTACTATGCAGTTTTACATGATTGTATTTACATGGTTTGTCTACGACTATCATGGACCCACCAGGCAACTTGCCATAGGCCTAAATCATGCAAATCATGTATACAAGCGTAACTAGTTACTTTAATTAAATTACTAAGAGCAAAGTAAGAGATTACTTTTAAGTTGTAGCTAATAGTAGCTAATAGTTACTTATAGTACACTTGTCTAAAATATTGTGCATACATTCATACTGCCGCTTTGCTTACGTAGTGGAAGGGGTTGAGCTTTTATGCGCTCATGTTGGATAACGTTATTTTATTTTGGTATGTGAAAGCAAAATTCTCCTACGAGGTTGATTATCCCGCCTCCTGATAGTGAATGCGGTTATACTCAGGGCAGGTACCATTTGGTACTTTGGTCATTTATTTCACTAAACCGCAACCGTCAAACGTTATCTCGGAAACGGTTTAAAATTAAGCTTAGTAAGAAAAAAAAAAAACATTTGTGTTCCATTTGGAACGACACTACATACATATACTATGCTGTTGATGGTGAAAGTACATAAGTAGAAAGTGCATAAGTGCTTAGTGTATAGTGTGCCATTGGGGACGCAGCTAGTCATTCACACACACACACACACACACACACACACACACACACACACACACTCATACACTATGGATAATATAGTTTATTCAATTGACCTATACATCAGCACATATATTCACACTATGGGGGAAAATGGGGCACCCGGAAGAAACCCACACAAACACGGGGAGAACATGAAAACTCCACACAGAAATGTGAAAAATCGGAAATCAACAATGCTCAGGACTTGACAGTGATAACCACTGAGCCACTGTGCCACCCTTCATATCAATATATAGAATACATTTAGAGAAGTAAACTAACTGTATATATTTTTGTTATTGTAATATTTTGAAGAAAAAACATTACATTTTTAAACTAAAGAGATTTAGATTTGTTAGACACTTGCACATGCTCAAGAAATAACTCATTGTGTACAATTATATTATATGGTATTAATGAAATACAGTGACAATATTCATGTTTTGATACATCTTGTTTAATAATTCCTGTTATTTTATTATACAAAATGTGATTTAACTTAAAATTAAAGAATATCTATTGTCTATTTATTCAGTTTTGTATGGATATTAAGTAGTATTGTATAGTAATTAGATCACTTACACAAGTATTTTAAACACAGTTTAATTATGTAATTAGAAATTACCAATTTGTAAGCAACTTACTTAACACTGAATTTACTCATACTTGCTATTTTTACATACCTGGTTGCCATTGACAGTGTAATCATGCTTTGCTGCGTAGACTTTAGCCACAGAAACTGCTACTGCATAACCAACCACTGCTGTGGAGAAACTAGAGCCCAAAATACTCCCAATAAGTTCTATATTTGGTGGCTGGGGCGATGCAAACCTGAGAAAAAAACACAAAGACCCACACTTTTGCTATGAAGTTTTTTATGAAGGTTCATTTCTGGCTGCTATTGTCTTTTAAGATAACACTTTCATGTTATTATTGGTTTTTAAACTGTCTTGTCACTGTCATTGTTCTAGAGATAACATTCATGTTTATTCATGTTAAATCTGTCCAGGGACAATGATAAAAATATGTGCATTTGAAGCGACTGAATGTGCACCCAACCCTCCTCAGGAAGCAGGAAGTGCCACAGGAAGTGCTCTTACCCCCTGGGGAGGTTGTGGACAATGCTGGCGCCGTACTGGGAGTTTAGGTCCATCACATGGGAGATCGCAGAAGCTATCACTGTCTGTCAGGTCAAAAGAGGTAACAGCAATCAATGTTTAAACAAAATTATATTTAAAAGAAAAATTGATTCATGCATTGCTGTTGAGATTTGTATAGGTGAATGTTGGGACATACCACAATCACTTCTATAGGAATTGGCACTGGGATTTTATGCTGGAATTTGGTGTTGATCTCTTTCACAGCCATAACTATGGAGATTGTCAGTAATCCAGCGATCAGGTCTGCCATGTTTGCTTGGTTGATGTTACTGCCTACATCAATGAGAGTCTATATATAGAAAAGAAATAAGAAATAAAACTAATTAATAATTATTAAAAACTATTTATTTGATTTATTAAATATGCATTATCCTTATATGTTTATTATACCAACATTCCATAAATAATAATAATTTAATAAAAAATTTAATGTAAAAAAAAAAAGTTAAATAAATGAAATAAATTCTGATTCTGATTAAATTATATAAATGAAATTGGAATTAAATCTTTGATAAATATAATAAACAAATAAATAATTAAGTAATTAAGTAAATAAAAGCTCAATAGTACTAATATTTAATAGAACAAAAACTTTGCTCTAAAAAAAGACAATCAAATATAAGAAAAGCAAAATTTTCTAAGCTGAACTAATATAGTTTAAGTTTGGCCAAACAAACAAACAAAATAAAACTATATATATATATATATATATATATGATTACAATATAATTTATAATTACAAGAATTTATATATTTGTATATAATTTATACAAATAATTTATAGAGAGAAATTGAGTGAACATAAACAAAAGTAGAAACATTAAAAATGAAAAACAGTATTCCAAAATTCTTTAAGCCAGAGAAAAGTGTGTTTGTGATGGAATTAATGATTTAACAAACTCACATAAGCAAAGGAGAAGAATCCGTTATGGTTGTGGGTCGGAACAGACAGTATGGTTTTAATCTGAGATATGAAGACGTGAAAGGCCGCAGCAGTGGTGAATCCACCTACCAGTGGATCTGAGAGATACCTGA